CAGTGAAATACTGTTTCATCTGCCCAGGTAACATGTAATTTTTAAAATATGTTTTTATTGATTTCAGAGAGAGGAAAGAAGAGGGAGAGAGAGAAACATCAATGTGAGAGAGGCACATTGATTGGTCACCTCCCGCACAAGCCCAGACCAGGGTGGGGAATCAAACCTGCAACCCAGGCACATGCCCTTGACCAGGAATTGAACCCTCCACCTGTCCGTGCCCAGGCCAACTTTCTAACCTCTGAGCAACACCAGCCAGGGCAAACAATTTACTTTCTAAAAAATATATATTTTTATTGATTTCAGAGAGGAAGGAAGAGGGAAAGAGAGAGAAAAACATCAATGATGAGAGAGAATTAATGATCAGGCCTCCTGCACGCCCCCCACTGGGGATCGACCCAGGCATATGCCCTGACCGGGAACTGAACAGTGACCTCCTGGTTCAGAGGCCGATGCCAGCTGGGCAATAATTCACTTCTGAAGACAGCAGGCCTTTGTCCGGAGAGCCGGGCTGCATGTCGCACAAAATGCAGGTGCAGGCAAAGCGTTCCTCTGGGAACAGCATGCCGCCGGAGGCCTGGGTGGTTCCGGCTCCCGCTGTGGGGGGGTCCTCCCCGAATGGCGTCGCAAGGCGGTTGCCCTGTTGTCCTGCAGTCACCCCTGCAGTCACCCATTGTCACAGCCGGGTCCCTGACCCCACGAGCAGCTTCCCAAACAGAGGGTCCTGGTCCGTGGGCTCCAATCCACTCCCATTTGGTTCACTAGGAAGAGCTTCTGGCGGGAACCCCCTGGGAACTTGGTACCATGTCTGGCGGGAAGGAAAGGCTGGGCGCAGTTCTTCACCTTACCCGCAGCTCTGCAAACCCGCTCCCAGCACTCCTCACACCACAGCCACAAAGAACCCTGGCCCCCGCCCTCCTCCCACAAGGCAGCTCAGCCGGCCTCCTCCCTCGCAGGCCACACTGAGCGGGTAAGGGGGGGTGGGGGGGCTGGCCTGGGAGGGCCTCATCATTAGAGGGTTTTGACCTGGGGGATGGTTGGACTCGAGGGCCGAGGGCTCCCTGAGAAGAGCCACACTTGGTGGCCTGGAGGGCCAGCTCCCTGAGGACAGGGAAGCCACCCGAGAGACCTGCCCAGCCTTGCCCAGTGTCCAGCCTGTGGCTGGTTCTAAGCTCCATCCTTTCGCTATAATGTAACTGAACCATAAGTAGAGAGCTTTCCAGAGTCCTGTGAGCCTTTCCAGTAAATTTTGGAACCTGCATGAGGTCTTGGGAAGCCCAGAAGTTGCAGCCAGCTGGTCAGGAGAGAGGGCAGTCCTAGGGCCCCCACACTTACCACTGGGGTCTAGCGAGGGCAGCCTGCGGAGCCCTGGTCCTGCTCCTCCAGTCTGTCGAACTGGGTCCCAATGAAGGTTTTTTCTTTGTTTAATTTTTAAGTGTCTATGTGGCATTTTTTCTTTTCCTTTCTTTTTTGTTTTGTTTGTAAATCCTTAGCCAAGGTTATTTTTCCATGGATTTTTAGAGAGAGTGGAAGGAAGGGGGAGAGACACAGAGAGAGAAACATTGATGTGAGACAGATGCATCGATTGGTTGCCTCCTGCACGCACTCTGACAGGGCCGGAGCCTGCAACTGAGGTATGTGCCTTTGACCGGAATCGAACCCAGGACCCTTCAGTCCACAGGCTGATGCTCTGTCCACTGAGCCAAACAAGCTAGAGCCCAGTGAAGGTTTTTAAATTTATTTTGAAGGGAGAGGGAGAGAGATAGAAATATCCATGATGAGAGAGAATCACTGATTGGCTGCCTCCTGCATGCCCCCTACTGGGGATCGAGCCCACAACCTGGGCATGTGCCCTGACCAGGAATCAAACCCAGGACCTTTGCAGGCCGACACTCTATCCACTGAGACATTTCCCACCCTTTTTCTTTTTTAAAATGTTTTTTAAAAATATAGTTTTATAGATTTCAGAGACAGAAACATCAATGATGAGAGAGAATCACCGATTGGCTGCCTCCCGCACACCCTCCCACTGGGGACTGAGCCAGCAAGCTGGGCATGTGCCCTGACTGGGAATCAAACCCGGGACCCTTCAGTCTGCAGACACTCTATCTACTGAGCCAAACCAGCGAGGGCTTAAATGTTTTTTTATTATTGATTTTTAGAGAGAGAGGAAGAGAGAGGGCGAGAAGGTAAAACACCTACGTGAGAGAGAAACATTGATCAGTTGCCTCCCGTACTCAATGGACTGGGGACAGAACCCACATGGGTATGTGCCCTGAACCGGCGACCCTTCATATCGATGTTTTTCTCTCTTTCCCTCTCCCTTCCTCTCTCTCTAATATCAATAAAAACATATTTTTAAAAAATACTTTTGGTCGATTTCAGAAGCACAAATGGACTTTGAAGGAAGAAGAAAACACCTCGCCCCTGTCTGTGGCCGGCCCGCTTCCCTGAGCAGCCTGGTAGGGTCACTGACCCTTTTTAAAAGAGTTTCATTCTCAGAAATTATTTTTAAAATCCGTGAGCTTTCCTATGAGTCTGAAAGCATAAATCACGCCTTTCAGGAAAACCCATAAAATACACTCCGCCTGTGAGATGAAATGAAATCAAGACAAACCTAACCTTTACAGCTGGGCCTGTGCTCCTGGACGAGCGACTCATAAAGCACAGTAACACCCTCGCCGGGTTGTGGCTCCAGAGCAGCGATTTTCCTCCTTTTTCATCTCATGGCACATAAACTAATCACTAACATGCTGTCGCGCACCACATACATAGATAGCCAATCTGACAAAGCATAGGTGTGTTTTGATTCATTCTCACTGGGCAGCTGTTGTCATGCTGGCTGTCGCCATTCTTTAAACTTGACAGTCTGCGGGAAGCCAGCCAGTGGCCCGACTCGGGAGCCAGGTGCTGTGTGTGTCAAACTCCTTGCAGCCCAGCCAGCTTGGCTCAGTGGCTAGAGTGTTGACTTGTGGACTGAAGGGCACATACCCAGGTTGTGGGCTCGATCCCCGGTGTGGGGCGTGCAGGAGGCACCCGATCAATGATCACCTCTCATTGATGTTTCTACCTCTCTCTTCCTCACTGAAATGAATAAAAATATATTATTTTTAAAAACCTCCTTGCAGCACACTGGTGTGCCGAGGCACCATGGGTGAAAATCGCTGCTCTAGAAATTGCCATCCCTACACCTGTGAGCTGTCCCTGCTCTCCGGGCCACGTCTGCTTGCTATGCCTGGGAGGTGTCTCACTACAAAGCAAGTGTCACCGCATTTCTTATTTACACGATGCCAAGAATTTGTCCAGGCCTAGCTTATAACAATTTGAAAGGTGCTTTGTCACCGAAGCAGTCCTTGTTTGAGACTTCTCCATAGTATCGTGATCAGGAGTGGCACAGCCTGGCACGGTGCTACTCTCCTGCCCAGAGAAGCTGTGGTGATAGCCGCTAGATCGGGCGTGTGGTGACGGTCACCCTGTACCGCAGCCGGAATCCACACTGACAGGCCTCCGTGCCTGAGCGTGCGAAAGCCCGGAACTGTCTCAAGGAATGCAGAGTCTGAAACACAAGCTGGAAAATTCTCAAGATTATAAAAAAATGTTAACTCTCTTTGGCTTAAAGTAGAAACATCAGCTTACGTGGCTGAGTGAGAACATTGAGTGTATCGTAGAGGTATATGGAATTGAAAACAAAAAGTATGCAAGGTTGCCCAGACATGTGGCCTTTGTGGCCTTTGAACCAGGAGGTCACAGGTTCCCAGATGGATCCCCAGTAGGGGGCGTGCAGGAGGCAGCAATTGATGATTCTCTGTCATTGATGTTTCTATCTCTCCCTCTCTCTCTCTTCCTCTCTGAAATCAATAAAAACATATTTTTACCAAAAAGTATCCAATGTCACAATCCAAGAGCAGGGACTGTGCCATCTGCACTGCCCAATGGCTCCGCTGTTGAGTAACCGATCGGTTATGCCCATATTAGGACTCTTGAGCTGGCTCGTAAGTTGCTTCAGTCTTAGAATAAACAATGGAATAACTCACAGAAGCCACTGGGGCTTCCTCCAACGTTGGAGTCTGATAAAGTGACTAAAAACAGAACCTAAGAGGCGACAGGTTGGGGGTGGGGATCGCCTTCCAGGTCCTCAACTGGTCTGTCCCTCGGGGGCTGGTGGCGGCAGGTGCCCGGCCCGCTGGCTGCTCTGTTCCCTGAGCTGCGAGGCCATCACTTCCCAGGGGTTCGGGGTGCACTTTCTTGATTCTGTTACACTTTGCTCTCTGGAGCAAGGAAGGCTTGAGTCTCCAACCGCAGGAGATGAGTAGGTGCTGCGGGATCGGTGTCCTGTGATGGCGGTATCAAATCACCGCAAACTTTGCTGCTTGAAAAAACACAAATGTGTTGTTAGCCTTCTGAAGGGCAGAGTCCAACGTGGGCCTCTGGGTGCTGCAGGGAGTGGCCAGCAGGTGTGTTTTTAAAAAATAATATCCAGCTTCATTTTATAAAAGATTTTTAAAAATTGACTTTTAAAGGGAGAGGGAGAGAGAGAGAAACGACGACGTGAGGCACATCGATTGGTTGCCTCCCACATGCGGCCCCGGTTGGGGTGTGGGGGATTGAACCTGCAACCAAGGTATGTGCCCTTGACCGGGAATCAAACCCACGACCCTTTGGTCCTCGGGCCAAAGCTCTAACCACTGAGCAACAGTCCAGGTCCCAAATGTATTTTTTACTTAAAGTGTTTGGGAGGCTGTCATGTCGAAGGAGCAGAGTTTTCTACGGGGCCTTGGGAGGGTGGGAGCAGAGTTCAGTGCCGAGCAGAGTAAATGCCTGGCGACACTGTGGAGATGCAGCGCTAGGGCGTCCCTGGGCCCAGCCAGGGGACAGCAGATGATTCTGCCCCCAACTCCTGTAGAGTGTTTCACAGCAAAGTCTCCCCGAAAACCTGTCAGGGTCTCAGACCAGGCACAGTGCCATTTGGATGACGTCACTGAGAAAGCCTACTGCGTGCGATGACCCAGGGACACCCTGTCCTGAGGAAGCTCACTGTCTGGTTCAAGGTCACACAGTACCCCAAGAACCATCCTGAGAGGTGAGGTCAGGAGGGACAGCGTGGAGGCACGGACACAGCCAGAAAGGAGCACAGGGCAGACGGAGGGCGACCTGGTCCTTGGGGTCCTCCCTTGGATCCTGCCCCTCCCGTCCCTGGGACACCATCACTCTTCTCCCGTCTCCACACAGGGCTGCCCCCACCTGCTCATCCAGCTCAGGGGTCTCTGAGCTCCAGACACAGCTGCCCACCTGCTGGATGTTTCACAGGCCTGGGACTCAGCATGCAGGTGCTGGGGCTGACCCAGCAGCTGAGCCCACATCCTCCCCCGCCCCTCCCCCCCATCCCAGGAGTGCTGCTCTTACAGCTGGAGTCCTTTCTCCAGACACCCCCGGGCTGGGGAGGCCAAGGTCAACACGCTGAGTCCAAAGGGCTCCCAGAATGGTCAGAAAAATGCCAAGTGCCATTAAAAAACTTTTATTCTGCCCGGCCAGTGCGCCTCAGTGGTTGAGCATTGACCTATGAACCAGGAGGTCAGGGTTCAAATCCCAGTCAGGGCACATGCCCAGGGTGCGGGCTCCATCCCCAGTGGGGGGCGTGCAGGAGGCAGCCAATCAATGATTCTCTCTCATCATTGATGTTTCTATCTCTCTTTCCCTCTCCCTTCCTCTCTGAAATCAATAAAAATTTATATTAAAAAAAAAACCACAAAACTTTTATTTCGAAATAAAATGTTACCGCACAGCAAGAGGAAGCCACGCATGCCTCCTTCCTCCAGCGCAGGCTGGGACGCCTTGAACCCAGGCAGCTCTGGCCCAGGCCTAGAGCATATCCCACCCCCAGGTTCTGACCGGCCTGCAGCCACAGGACTAAGGGCCCCCTATCAGTGGGCTGGGCACTCCGTGCAGCCCTCCCGGCAAATGCACGCCCATCCTAATGACAGGCAGGATGCCCGAGCCATGGGTTAGCGTGTGCACCGCCTGTGGGACCACAAAGGCAGAGGAGTGACAATTAGTGGGTTTAGTTTCCCACGCGGGGGCCTCGGAGTCCACGTGCTGGGGACGCCCACTGGCCTTCTCATCGCTCTTCAATGGCGCTGACGCCAGGAAGATGCCACAGCGTGGCCCCTAACCGCTCCCGTTCGTGCTGGTGAGCGTCCTGATGGGCAGCATGGTTTTGATGAAATCCAAATTTACGAGGTTATTAAAGTCGTTGATTATTTGGCACCATCGAGATTTCATTGGCTTCATCCTTAATGAACACTGACAGCTTTATATTTTTGGTGTAAAAAGTAGAATTCGTTTATAATGCTTCCTGCCCTGTTCCGAGGGCTGTGGCTCCCACCTTCCCCCATCTCCCCTCATTCCTACCCCTCCCCTCTGCTCCTCACTGCTCCCCTCTGCTCCCCCCTGCTCCCCTCTGCTCCCCCTGCTCCCCTCTGCTCCCCCCTGCTCCCCTTGCTCTCCTCTGCTCCCCCTGCTCCCCTCTGCTCCCCCTGCTCCCCTCTGCTCCCCCCTGCTCCCCCTGCTCTCCTCTGCTCCCCCTGCTCCCCTCTGCTCCCCCTGCTCCCCAAAGGTCCCCCATGCTCCCCCTGCTCTCCT